TTTTTTCCTTTGAGCTTTGTCTACCTATATCTACCTAAAGAGAGTTCTATACAAAAATAAAAAAGGGAGATAATTCTCTATGCACAATTTGGAGAGTCCAATCTATCTGACCTAGAACCAAGGAGCTCCCCCAAATTAGTCCTAACTGGTGGACTGAATTTTTAAACTGATCTCATTGAGGCAAAGGGAGCCATGGTCAAAGAAAAATGTACTCAGTCCTAGGGCAGATAGACTGTTTTAACCCATGCTTTGACTTTCCAAGCAGTGCACAGGAGAAACTTATATTACTTTGATCCCAAAAGAAGACTCAGATTTAGCACAAATAAAGAACTACAGGCCTATATGTCTATTAAATGCAGACTATAAAATATTCGGTTCAATAATCACTGAAAGATTTAAACGATTTCTAATTGAGTTTATACATTCTGATCAAAATGGGTTTTTACTTACAGTATTTTTCGGGAGTATAAGACACACCTTTTTCTCCCCTAAAAGAGGGTGAAAATTTGGGTGCGTCTTATATACTGAATGTAGCCCCAACCCTTTGGCCTCTGTCACCCAGCAAATTACCTCTTTGCAGCAAACGGGGGCTTGCAAGGCTTCAATAGGCTATAGCAATCCCTGCAGCCTGAAACAGCTGATGATCGGGAGAANGAGATAATCTGGTTCATAATAGTGCTGAAAATGATGGAGGTAGTGATTCTGGGAATGTCCTGGCTAGAAAAGTGGGGCCTGACCATACGATGGCAGAAAGGAGAGTGGAAAAGGAGCATAAGGAGGGAACTTCCCTCCTTTTCTCATTGGAAACTTGGGGGACAGGCTGAATGGCAGAGTAAGGAGGTTGGAGTAAGCGTGCAGTTGAAAGCGGATTCATAACAGCAGCCAGAGATTCAGCTCATCCCCTGAGAGTATCGGAACCTGAAAGGGATGTTCAGTGAAGAGGAATGTGATGTCCTACACTGCCACCCCATCCTACCGACTGAGTAATAGATCCTGCCAGAGGCGAAAGTCCCCAAGTCAAAGATATACTCTATGACCCCAAAAGAGTTGGAATATTTGAGAAACTACATTTATAAGAACCTTGGCAGGGGATTCATCCGGCTGGCCAAGGTCCGTGTAGCACCCTCCCCCATACTATTCAAAGAGGATGGGTAGTTGAGGCTATGCGTGGATTTTAGGGGGATCAATGAGCTATGCATGGAGGGGGGATCAATGTGGTATGAGTGTACCCCTTCCCCTAATGAAGGACATGTTGGACTATTTAGGCAAAGGAAATATTTTCAAGAAGCTAGACCTGAGGGAGGTGTACTACTAAGTGAGAATTAAGGAGGGCGACAAGTGGAAGACTGCCTTTAATTGCCCGCTGGGGAGCTTCCAATTCAAAGTGATGCTGTTTAACCTCCCAGGAGCCCCTGCTGTGTTCCTGCAGCTAATTAATGAGATACTCCATAAACACCTGTACAAGGGAATCTTAGTGTACCTGAACAACATTCTCATCTTCATCGAAACAATGGAAGAGCACATGAAGTGCGCCAGATGCTCAAGAAGCTTTTAATGATGAACCTATATCTAAGGTATCTAAGTGTGAATTCCACAAGACTTGCCTAGACTACCTTGGCTACTGAGTGTCAAGTGAAGGGGTGGAGATGGACCCAGAAAAAGTAAAAGCCATATTTGAGTGGCAAGCCCTCCAAACCCGCAAGCAGCTGCAGAGTTTTTTGTGAGACACAAACTTCTACAGGAAGCTTATCCCCTCTTTTGCCAAGATACCTCTGCTGATGATTAAACTGTGGAAGACAGGGAAGGGGGGAGGGAAGCTATACCAGAGACAGCCTCTAACCTGGATGATGGAGTTCCAGGATGCTTTTGAGACGTTAAAGGGACTGTTTGATGAGGAACCAGTCCTGAAATACCCTAGCTCTGAGAAGACTTTTGTCATCCAGGCTGATGGCAGTGAGGCTGGTGGGAGCAGTTCTCTTCCAGAAAAATTGAAAGGGGAAGCTGCAACTATGCACACATCCTGAAAGCTCACCAAAACTGAGAGACATTGAACAGTGTAGGAGGAGGAAGCCTTTGCTATCTGATGGGTATTGCTAACATGGCACCAATTCCTCTAGGGAAGCAAAGTACCATTTGAGGTGTGGACTGATCATAAGAACCCGGAGGTGCTTTAGACTCCCCAAAAACTTTCACCAAAGAAAGTTGGGTGAGCACAATACTTCACACAATTTGATTTCCAACTGAAGTACATCCCAAGGGAGCAAGAATTTCCTAGCAGATGCCCTGTCCCACCTGCCATAATACAAAAGTTGTCAGGAAGAGGTGGTAGAGTTTTTTATTCCTTCCCCCCAGAAAATGGCACAAGTGATGATGAGGGAGTAAACAGTCAGACCCCAGTGACAAACTGACCCAGTAACTAAAAAGAGAGTTGCAATCCAACCCATAGTTCAAGGACCATGGGGAAAAGCTTACGTTGAAGGAAAGACTGGCCTGGAAGAGTGGCAGGTTGCATGTCCCCAGCATCCTAAGGCTCAAGTTTTTCAACTAAGCCATGATGCCAAGCAATCAGGCCACTTCAGGTTCATAAACACCCTGCACTTAACAAGGAGACAATTTTGGTGGCTGCAAATGAAAAAGGACATAGAGAACTACATGAAAAGCTGCACTGTGTGCTCAGAGATGAAAAAAAGACCAGGGAAAAGCCCAGGATTATTGCAACAGATAGTTAACCTGACTCGACCATGGGAGGAGATAGTGATGGACTTTATAGTGGAACTCCCAGAGAACAGGAGAAACACAGTAATCTGGACCATAATAGACTATTTCTCCAAGCAAACACACTTTGTCGCCTGCTCGAGTCTCCCTTCCACCCAAAGACTGGCCAAGATGTTCCTGCAGCATGTCTGCCAGCAGCACGGGGTGCTGAGAAGAATCATCTTGGACTGGGGAGTTCAGTTCACTGCAAAGTTCTGGAAGGAACCCATTAAGTTAATTGGATCATCTCAAGAGCTTAGCTCTGTCTTACATCCGAGTACGAACAGATCTGTGGAATGAGCTAACAAAATGATAGAACAATACTTGAAATGCTATGTTAACTATCAGCAACCTAACTGGGCAGATCGCCTGCCATTTGCTCAAGTTGCCTACAATAACACAGTGCATAGTAGCATGGGACTCATCCTCTTTAAAGTAGCCACAGGAGTGAAATTCATCCCCATGCCAGAATACCTGCAGGAATCCTGCTCCTAAGTGAGCCTAATGGAATGGGTGGGTTTCTTACAAAGTGTGTAGGGAAATTAAAATGAGCACTGGCTAAAGCAACAGAAATGCAGAAGGCACAGGCAGATAAGAGACGGTCACCCCAGAGGCCATTTCACATTGGGGAGAAGTTCTACTTCTCCACAAAAATATCTGAAATTGAAACACTCTATAAGAAGCTCAGTTCAAAATTCATAGGACCTTTTTTAATAGTAAAAATAATAAACCCAGTGACAGTAGAATTGAAACTGCCAAGCTTGTTAGTGAAAGGGCACCAAGTGTTCCATTGTAGTATGCTCAAGCCGGTGGCAGGGTCAGAATTAAATCCACTAGCAAAACAATGAACATATCATTGCAAAGATTATAAAATGTTATTGAAATTGAATCTGGAAAATGAACATGTAAAACTTTGTATGATTCAGTGGGCAAGGGATTTTGTTATAATGTGATGCTTGAAGGATCGGAAAATATGTGGATGAAGGCTCTAAAATTTACATTATATTATAATTTAAAAGAAATGTTTTATTGTTGATATTTAACACCAGATAAGTTTTCTAAAATGTATAAAGGTATGTCAAATGTATGTTGGTGAAAAAACAAAGAAGGGACTTTTTACCATTTATGGTGTACATATGATAAAGCAAAAAAATGGATTATGACTCATATTTTAATACCGAAAATCCTGAAAATTGAGATAAAAATGAAACCAGAACTTTTCCTTTTGGGCCTAATAGAAAAAGAACTGGAGAAAAAAAATGGAACTTCGTTACTGTATATGTTGATAGCAGTAAGACTATTGTATGTACAAAAATGGAAGGACACTTTGATTCCTACTATAGAAGAATGGTTACAGAAGTTGATGGAGTTGGCTGAAATGGCAAAACTGATTATCAATTAAAGAAAAGAACATAAGTACTTTTGCTTCTATGTGAAAATCGCTTCTTTGTGTTTGATGTGGAAAAAAATGAAACTTTGATTTTGGGTTTTACATATTAGATCGATAAATCTTTATAGAAATGACTTGTTTATACTATTACTAGTCGATAACCCAGCGTTGCCCAGGTATTTACTTATAGGGGGAAATGTTTGGACCAAATGTAATTTCTAATGTTGGATGACTAATAAGTTAGAATTAGGTTTTTTCTAGTCTTTCCCCACAAACACTCTTTGTTATTTCATTTAAATTAATATTGCAAAAATAAGATGCATTGGAATTATGGAGCCTGAAACCGTCAACATTCTCAGACAAAGAAAAAAGGTATCAGATGAGATATGAGCTTGCAAAATGTTAGCACGGAAGGACAGAGATAGTAAGCACTAATGGATTTTAAAGGGAAACAAAAAACAACCTCTGTGGCAGATATGATTAAAAGTCTGCCAACAAGGGTCTAGTTCTAATATGGGGGCAAAATTGATATTTAAGGTTAATGATGATCATAATGAAAGGAAAGTATCATTCAGCTAAAAACAAATATTATTGGATAACAAGGCTATTTTCAAAGGCTAACTATTTATCCTATGCAGTTTTTTCTCCGCACCAACATAGGTTTAAAAATGGGTAAAGAAATATGTGTTTGGTTCACCTGTATTTGTCAAATACTTGACTATCAATCCTTTTCAATGTAGTACTTCTATACTAAGCATTTAAAGAGAGGAATTTGAAGAGATTTTTGGCCTTTATTCTCTGATCCCATTTTGTCTCAAATTGCATGCAGTCTAGGAGGCATTGTTGCCCAACTTACGAAGCGTCGTCAATCCAGTCCTCATTTGCCAGGATTGCTTCAATATGTGGGTTTGTTATTACAACATCATCCATCTCCAATTCAGAGGGTTCAGACTGTGTCTCCATGGTACCAATTAGGTCAACAATAGGCCTAGGAGGAAGCACAATAGAAATCTAAAGCATTGTTGGATGTGTGTGTTAAAATACCCCTAATTAAGCTTATTTTTGACCAGTAAATTAAGTATGTTTTGAGATCAAAATTTACTCATAATTAACTGTCATTTATTATTAACAAAAGTCATAGATTAGATATTCCCATTTTGGAATCTTTCACATGTGCTGTGCCTGCAGTGCCTTGACTCCTTAATTTTGGCGATCCTGGTTTCAAATTCTGGAAATTGCTGTCCCAAAACATTCTAGGTGAGTGAATGAATTATTAGAATGCACAATTGAAAAATTATCTCACCTGGTATCATAATGACTCAAGAAGTCCTTGGGTCGGCAGTAACGCTGCCTGCATACCACAACCAGAGCCACAAAAGAAGCCAGGAAGATGGTTGCCAATACCCCAATAGCTACAATGACAACAGTCTCCATTGATGCTCGTGGTAACCTCAGGGGATGAATGGACAGTTCAACAGCAAGATGTTTTCAGAAACACTTCTACCTGAATTAAAACTGAATAAAATGAAGTCTTGCTGGTTAAATATACCAGAAATAATGAAACTTTGGGCTTTCAGAATCTTCTTTAAAAAAATATCTGAGATTCAAGATAAAGATACAGAAGAGTTCTATATCAAGCAATTTGAATAAACATTGAACAGAATTCACAGTCTTTTCAAACAATAATATGGATCACACTAACTTTTTTCTCAAGCATTATAAGGTTGCTATTAGAACAATAGAGGCTTAAATCCTTGCTAATATGTTGAAATGTTGAGTGATCTATTCATATATCCATATATCTATATTGTGCCCATTCTCACATATTCTTGCTAGCATCTGTCAGATGATCTGCTTCCTTCTTTGATTATCTTTATGATTAATTGAAGTATTATATAACTTTGCCAGATTTTTTTTAAAATTATGTAATACTTCAATTAATGTATTATGCAATCTTGCTTAAGTATATGCTTAGCAAAATGAAATCATGGCTCATCTGATCCATTATGTTTTACACTCAAAATGTCTTTTTAATTAAATAATTCTTTGGCAGATTGCAATCTAATGTTTTCTTTTTGTATTTCTATTTCCATTGCTTTAGGGAACTTCTGCCCAACCCTTTTGTCAATTTAGAATGTGTTCTAAAGCCAAATGTTCCTTCAGTTTCCCACTGTATCATTTGTGTTTGAAAGCTGAGCCTTTTCCCCTCCTTGATTCTATGTTAGTTTTTCTGAAATTGATTTTTTCCCTATTGGATTGTTTTTCTTGCTTGATTCTGAGTTTCAATACCCTACTACGCCTATGTCAGCCGGGTTTAAAAATCATAACACTTTTAAATAATTATTTTCCTAAAAACAGCTCTATTAGAAAGCTGCAGATGAGTGTTCTTTTCTCACCATTTGAAAGTTAATAGAAGTAAATATGAACACCTGTTGGCTTTAAAGTGTTGGAATTGTTAAGAAACAGTTTATGAGTAGCTATTTGTGGAGCAAACTAATTGCCCCCAAACAAGTGGGATAACTTGTCAGGATAAAATTAATGACTGGAATGTACTAATAGAAGGATATAAACTGTTCAAAATAAAGAGACCTAATAAAAGAGGAGGTGAAATTGCATTATATGTAAACTTTACAGAAATGCATACACCAAGGATGAAACCTCTTAAAATACATATGGGTCAATATAAAAAAAAAAGATGCCATTGTCATATACTACAGGCCACCCAACCAACATTAGCTATCTTGATATCAAGTGGGAGACAAATTCTGCATCAAGAGGGAGATCAATCATGTTTCTGACTAACTCAACTGACAAGTTTGTCATATAAAAGGTAGAGAAAGGAACTAGAGGAATGCTATACTGGGCCTAATTCTTACTAACTGAGAAGAAATTATAAAGGAGGTTGAATTACAGGAATTTTCGAGGAGAGTGCCCAAGCCATATTAGAATGAAATATAATACAGACACAAGCAATAGAACATAATAAGACCAATGTATTAGACCAGGAGCCTCCAACCTTGGCAACTTTAAGACTTGTGGACTTCAACTCCCAGAATTCCTCAGCCAGCAAAGCTGAAGTTGAAGTCCACAAGTCTTAAAGTTGCCAAGGTTGGAGACCCCTGTCTTAGACTTTAAAAGAACTGATGTCAAAAACTTGGGAAGGACGCCATAGATGAAAATCTTAAAGGGGAAAAGAACTCAAGAAGCTTGAGAAACTGAAAAATATGATTTAAAAAGCCCAACCCAGCACAATTCCACTGATTAGAAAGCTAGAAGCTAAAACACATGAAGACTGGTTGCAGAATTCGGTATATATAGTCTAGTGAAAAGAAGAAGTAGGGGCAACATGATAGAAGTGTTCCAATATTTGAGGGGCTACCACAAAGAAGAAAGGGTCAACCTATTTTCCAAAGCACCAGAAAGCAAGAAAAGAAGCAATCAATGGAAACTAATCAAGGAAAGAAGAGCCTAAAACTGAGGAGAAATTTCCTGACAGTGAGAACAATAAAGCAGTGGAATGGTTTGCCTTTGGAAGTTGTGGGTGCTGCATCACTGGAGGTTTTTAAAAAGAGACCTGGCAAACATTTTTCTGAAATGGTATAGGGTCTCCTGCATGAGCAGGGGATTGGACTAGAAGACCTTTAAGTTAACTGTTAACTGTTCTAGTCTTTGAGCAATGTCTTTGGAACTCTTCAGTCATCCAGGTCATGGTTGTCCAAAAATGATTTTTCAAGAGATATCTGGACTTTCTGTTTTTTCTTTGAAGATGTTTTGCTTCTCATTCAAGAAGCTTCTTCAGCTCTGACTGGATGGTGGGGAATGGAAGGATTTATACTCTTTGCAGATAGATAGTTATTTATAATAATAAATAAATATATAATAAATACAACGAAGATTTCCACAGATTAAAAACACGGCTGTGCCATGGGTTCACCTGTTGTGGCCAATCTCTACATGGAAAAGGTAGAAACCAAAGTCCTAGACTCCTTCAAAGGAATTCCACCCATTCGCTGGTATACTGGTAAGTAAGTAGACGATACTTGGGTCAAGATCAAAACATAGGAATTAGAAGGTTTTTTTGAAGTTTGAAGTTTATTTATATGCCGCCCTTTTCCCTGGGGGGACTCAGGGCGGCTNGAGAAGGGCGGCATACAAATAAACTAAATCTGAAATCTGACTCCTTCATAAATAATGATTTCACTGAATAGGGTTGGGCAAGAGATAAAAAAACAACTTTTATTTGGTAAACTTTGTATCTCAGAGGGCTCCCAACCTTTGTCATAAAACTTCCCATGGCAGTTTTGCAATGGCAAAATGAAGAGCAGAAGCTAGAAGGAAATTTGAGTGTGCTTCCATTCTGCCTGCTCAAGTCTGATGTCTTTTCTTTTGTCACACCCCACCCCCACTCCCGCTTCCAAATTGGAGAACTTTGCCACTAGCTGTCCACAAGAAAATAAATGTTATAATTAGCAAGTTGATGAAGCCTTTGATGCCACTTCCTCTGTTTGATTGTATCTTAGTGCTTTTCTTAAGGCTTGGCAATTTTTGAGATTTCTACTCCCAGGATTCCCCAGCCAGCATGTTTTATTGAAAAGTTATTATTGTGTATTTGTTTACTGGATACCTGTTTACTTTAGGAGCAGTCACAGTAGAACAAAAAAACTTCCAGCTGTAAAAGCCATTTTAAAAACACGTTTTGTAGAGGAGATGAAAGAAGTATTATATTCATATTTTTATTATCTAATTAAGTGATATGAATCTCAATTTTAGCTTCTGAAGAAATATGTAGGATTAAATTATATTAATCTATTAAACTATATTAAGGAAGCTATCCAACTATATTTCCTGATGTTAATCAGAGGCAGTTTTTTACATTATATCATAAATTATTACTTAATAAATGTATACACACACACACATACACCACAGAATTAATTGCACCATCAATCCTAGGCTAAAGTAGAGCCTTCTAGGAAAAAACAGTGAGTATAGACAACTGTCTCATGGCTTTTAAAATTTTATGAGTTCTGTAAAGGAATGCTGTGGGTAGTTGTAGCTGGAGGTAAAAAATAATGCTACAGATACTGAAGACCTGGATAATATGTTAGATCTGTCAGCTTCATTACCCATCAAAAAGCCTGAATGCAGTGCCTTCCTCTCTCCATCAAGACAGACCAAAAAAAGTACTATTGCACTTTTGAAAGAGAAAATTATCTCCAAAATAGTTTATGGCTTTTGTAAGGATATGTTTGCCATTTATTTGTCAGCAGAATAACATTCTGCGTATATTTGATACTCTGATATTCTTTTCAGCCTAATGGAATATTGAAAGAAATCATGTAAAGGAGAAGGGTTGGAATTATTTCTGTCCCAAGCTGGCTTTAGGCTAAGGATGAGTAGATACTGCCATTTAATGGGGGGAAATGCTAAACCCTCCAAATAATTCTAAAAGAACAAATCTTCATATCAGCAGGTGGTGGTGTCGTCAACGTGGCCTATAGCCTTGAACTAGTTCTTTGTCTTTCAATAGAAAACTGAACAAAGTAAAAGATATGAAAGACTGTCTGAAAATGGGCCAGCTTGGAGGTAAAAAGATCCAGCTAAAATTCCCAGTGCATCCCTGTGGGAGAGGCCACTAGGAGGCAGCTGTAGGTGCACCAAACTCTGTGAGCAGCTTCCAACCAAGGAGTATGCAGTATTTGAGAGGTCAGGTGCTGCAACTCAACCTGAAGAGCTACTTTTGGCCATTTTGCTAACCATTGTTGGTGATATAACTGTCGGGTTCTACAGTTCATGGGATGCCCTCTTTTACAGTAAATATATATGTGATTATATTGAACTTGGTTACCCAAGGATCAGATAGACAGATAAGTTGAATTCCACTTTATTCATCTCAAAGTGCAAGTTATCTTACCTCAGATAATTGACAAATATATTGGAATAAGCAACTGATATACAGAAAATAATATAACAAATCTGTATCCTGAATTACAATGCTAATACTGTGATCATATATTAGTACTGTGACATTTTATGTCTTGCAGTCAATAAGGTGGGGTCAGAGTAATCAATGTTAACTAAATGAAAATCTGACTTTCTTCAAGCCTATCTCACATTTTCAACAATACTTCATTAAAGAAAGTCTCCTGAAGATTAAAAATATATTAATTGTTAACTACTTCCCTCAACTCCTTCAGAACAAGCGTTATTGCTTGAAAAATAATTACTAATAAATCTTTAGATTCACTCACAAAGCCTCCCCTTTCCCCATACCAAATAATGTAATCAACGAAAATGTTGAAAATCACTGATGCAGAATGCCATGCCAGGCAATTAGCCCATTACTTGTCCAACAGGGTTTACTCACCCATGTTTCCAACCTACAAAAACAAACTTTTTGAATCCAGCAGAGAAGATTTGCTTGCTTGCCAAATGTTTCTCTCCCAGCTTCATTGTCCCTATCTGTGGCTCTAGCCAATGGCACTTCTTTCCTTACAGCAGGAGGAGTTGTTCTCACATTGAAGCCACTCCATTATACAGTGCTATGTCTAGCTTTCTGGGAATATGTAACTCGTCTGACTAAGGATCTGCTCCATAATCTGATTCTGGAAAAACATATACATTGCTATATTTCCTTCTTCATCCTGTGGCCTCAATAATGTTGGCCCAAAAACAATCGCAATACTCTGCAGAGACATGCGGTTCTTCTCCCGGAACTCTACAACCCTGGGGGGAAAAAAAGGAAGAACACCTTGAAGCCATAAGAACAATTCTGTCTTGCCACCAGTAGTAAGTGGACTTAAGTTCCAATTTTTTTTGGTTGGGCTTAATTTTATCACTTACAATACTTTTATGAAGTACTAGTACTCTTCTATAAAGATGATTACTAACTACTTGTTCTTTTGTGCCCATCTGGCTGCTTAAGTTTCATTGAATATTCTTTCAAGCAGCATAGCAACTGAAAGTGTCAACTAAATTTCTACAGTGGTGCAATCAGGCAGGCAGGTGGGATAAGGTAACGAGATGGGATCTGCTTCCAAGTGGGAAGTTAAAAATAGGAAGACCAAAAGGCAAAGAAAACTGTCATAAGGGTTGATTCTAGCTTGGAGGCGACAGTGGCTGAAGTAATACGATTAAAAAGGATCTATGGTCACAGGACTGCTTTTCTTGTAAAATTAGTATTTTAACAGCCCAAACTGACTTAAAGATCTGGAAAATGATGCTGCTCACCTGGAAAGATGCTGGAAGAGAACCCTCGAGGTATTGAAATTAGCAGGAGGTAGGGAATACACAATCTCTCGCAAGAGTTGCCTTCGCTTTGCGGAGTCTATAATTTCTGCAGTCCCCCCCACAAAAAAAGGAGATTTCACTCATTTTGTTCTTTATATGTAGTTTTAAGAAATAACAGTAGATTGTCCACTGTTATTTTTCACTGCAATGGAAATACAGGACATCATACTATTATGTACTTTCTTGCCACTCTGTTCTTTCCAGGAGTCAAGAGTAAGGGGAAAGATGCAGAAGTCACATTCTCCTAATTTGATTTTACAAAAAAGGCTATGCCAAGCCTAGTTTGCTAGATGCCATGACTCTTCAGATTCCAAAAGAGTATATCTTACATAATATTCATATGTGTATTTTATGAAGTGCCTATTTTATTCTCTTCTTTGCTTTTGCTTGTTTCCATGTTTTAACTTTGTTTTTTTTTTCTTTTTTCCTCACAGCTATCTTGGTTCAATAAAAGCATTATTAAGTGAAATCACAGCTCTTTAGCTGTGTTGGCCTTCATATGCATCAAGTTCTTCCTAAGAACCTAAGAAGATGTAATGTATTAGCATAGTATCTATGTGGATCCCAGTAGAATGGTCTTTTGTAAGTGACAGATGGAAATTTGTCAATGTGCAGAGTTTTCATGCACTGTCCAAGATTTTTTGGTATGGCATCCAATGTGACAATAACCACCGAGTCAATCAGATCTTGATATTTGTGGTTATTGTTATCTATATTGATATTGTCATAAAGCATGAGAAGGCAATCTGTGTTACTTTTCCTAAACAGAGATCTAATATGACATTATTAATCATCTCCTCATTGCAATTTGCTGATAAAGAAGCACTTTTGGTTTGTAACACTGTTTTTTGAATGGAGCTCCTTAAATTATTTATCATTTATTTATTGGTATCCCATCTTTATTATTTTTACAAATAACTCAAAGCAGCAAATATATCCAACACATCTTTCTCCTCCTATTTTCCCCACAACAACAACCCTGTAAGATGGGTTGGGCTGAGGAGAGCTCAAAGTTACCCAGCTGGCTTTCATGGCAAAGGCAAGAATTGAACTCACTGTCTCATGCTTTTTATCCGGTAGCGTAACCACTAGACAAAACTGGCTCTATATATCCTCAATTTAGACTGGATCTAAACTTTTTTTTTTAAAAAAGACCCTGGATTTAAATACTATAATTCACAGAAAAGTATTCCATTTATTTTTAGTTCTTTTGGTTTTGACCTGGTCATGTTCAGGTTTAATGTTACTCTCTGTCTGCCAATTACCTGATCACAATTTAAAAACAGTAAATATGATCTTCAGTGCTATAAGATTAGCTAAATCTGCTTTAAATGATAAATAAGCCATAGGACAGAATGGGCAGAATAAAAATAGATCCTTATCGAATCAAGGTATTGTGCTAGATTGACACAATTTCTAACGCCCAATTGTTTCAACAAGAGAAACAACTGATAACCTTGAAAAATGAATTTTTTATATGCAGAATATTCAAATCACCTTTTTGAACTCAAAATTCTAGTTCTGCAAGTACTAGTTCAGCTTAGGCATGTAGCAAGGTGATAATTTTGAGGTAGTCAATAGGAAGAAAGAAGTAGCAAGTCACTTCTGAAATTCTTGCCTTGAACATTTCATATATTAGTCCAGATAGTCATCAGGAATCAAGACTAACTCGAAAGCCCCCTTCCCCCGCACTCAGTTTTGTTGTACTATGAATTGTGGATCTCAGGTGTTCAGTAAAAACATTCTAGGTATAACCTTGAAGTTCTGACCACACCTTAGCTATGGGAGATAAGTCTTACAATCAAAAAAGTTATGGCTTTGGTACTTATCTTCAAAGTTAGCCACTAAATAATCATTTTATTCTTCCCAAGAGTAAAATATTGTCTTACTAGCAGCAGCAATAAATCTGTCAAAATAACTGAAGGGGAAGAGCGGTTCAGGCAGTTCACGGAAGAAGAGTTTAAGTGCCCCAGTGATGACATGAACATCATCCCAGCGGCCACTATCAAGATCCAGATGCTCATCTGCAAAATTAATGAAAATTACAATACAATATATACATTCTCATCCCATGTCCCATAGCACTGAAGGTAAAGATAACGATATCAGTATAGCCATAATTGATTTTTAGACCAACATTTATTCACAATCTTGGACCAGAGAACAATACAGTAATATTTACTCCAGAACCATGCTGAAGAAGAAAAGGCAACTCCCTCAAACGTAAGCAGAATGCACTTAGCTTTCAGAAGGAAGCTCAAATTCAGTTGCATCTAGACATCAACTTGGATTAGCTGTTGTTTTAGTATTAGAAAGTTCTGTTTAGATCAAAGTTATTCAACCTTGGCATACAACCTTATGATGTGTGGACTTCAACTCCTAGTCTGCTGGCTATGGAATTCTGGCAGTTGACGCCTACACATATTAAAAGTTGCTATGTTTCAAAAACACTGAGTTAGATATTCCTCACCTTGTTTTATCTAGTATATGCCATAACATGAGAAAGTGGCTCCAAGGGAGAAACTTAGTCCTTAGTCTTGACCCCTTGAGGACTGCTCTGTGCATCCTAGTATGTCCATGTGGGTACAGTAGGATGGGAAACATTTCTTTCGTTCTATTAGGCATTCTGACAAAGATGTTGATACCAACATCTCTAGGCAATGTCCAGATTTCAGGAAGTCTCTTATATACTCTTAAAAGTGTCCACTATACTATATACTATATACTATACTATATATACTCTATACTCTTGAAAGTATCCACAAAAAATGAACAAACTTGGGATCTTCTATAGGCAATGGACATTATTCCTCACTAACTATCCCATTTACTATCCCAGTCACAGTGGCTTACCATGGTCAACTTTGAAGCGCAAATTTTGTATTGTAGCCAGGTTACCGCTTATCCGATAAAGCCCATCAATATCCAAACCTGAGAGATAGAGAAATGGCAGCTATTATCAGTAGCTCCACAAGAGAAAAATAGGTGCAAAGTAACGGCCTTTTCTCACACTTTGCATTTATTTTGCTTCAGTACAAAAAACAACAGAACTTTTAATGAGTCACAAAATCAGAATGTAAATATAAATGTTATGGATTTTCTGATAGTTGCGTAATGGATGTACATCATAGAATTGAAGATGTGGGCTGTCTGGCCTCAGATTTTCAATTTAGGTTAAATGTAGAGTATTGCATACCTCTTTTCTCCACAGTGGTGATGCACTGGCTGACGAAGTTAGGCACTGTACTCTTTTCACGATCACAGAGAACTTGAAGAGCACATCCAAATACCTGATCTGAATTTAAATAACAAAAAAACCCATATCAACTTAGGCAAGAAAGATGGATCATATCGTTTTCTAAATGAATATCCTTCCATTTAGATGGCAGTATTGCCCTGGCAAGTGGTGGTTGAGCCCAGTGGTGAAATTCAATTCAACTGGTTCTGTGGGTGTTGCTTGGTGAGCGTGGCAGGGGAACGATACTTCAAAATCCCCATTCTCACCCCTCTCAGGGGGCAACCAGAGGTGGCATTTGCCGGTTCTCTGAACTACTCAAATTTTCCACTACCAGTTGTCCAGAACCTGTCAGAACCTGCTAGATTTCACCCCTGATTGAGCCCCTTATTACTTAAATGTTAAAAATATTTAAAATGACAACAAATGATGAACCAACTGTGGGCCTGATTGCACTCCAAGGTAATTTTTTAAACAGCATTTTTTTCTCTCCCAGGAATTTACCTTTAATGTAGCCTCGGTCTCTCAGGTACTGTAGTGATGGACGCTTCAGCAGAAATTTCTTGAGCACATTGCGGATTTTGTTGGAATCACTGTCAGAACTGTGACAGTGCCAGAAAGCTGCAAAGAGACAACTGGCATTAGAATAGTCAAATAGGGAGTGGAGCATTGTTTTAAAGGTATGCTGAAACGTTTCTTGAATCTTTCAAGGGGGTAAAAATTAGCAAAAAGAGAAAATGTAAGTTTCTTCCTCAAGGTTATTTTTAGAGGCTTTTTACACAGTGTGCTAGGAGTTCACTTGCTTTAAAAAGAAGTCTTTTGGAAGGATGTGCAGTCTTTTAGGCTGAAAGAATAAAATCAATTCACAAATGCCTTTCTACTCTGTGCCAAGACTATTATGAAATTCATGAAGTACATTCAAATAAGTAGAAATGAAGTTCAGCTTGAAGGAAAATTCACCTTTACAAATCTTCAAACATTAACATATAAAGGAAAGAGGATAGGAAAGGAAACAAAGTGTTTCTACTGTTGTGCATGGCAAAACTATTACTTTTAAAATATTGTGATTGCTACTTATTACAAATGCTATTAGTTGTATTTATTTTAGTTACATGCCTCTCTTCCTCCTAAACATCAGGAGCCTTATCAATATGGAGATTTTCTATGTAAATATTCTTCCTTTTCTGAGCAAGCAGTGCAATCAAAACTTGCAAGGATCCAGACTATACTGAAGATAATTCTAGCAGGCACTCTTCCTTAACCTTGTGCCCTTTATGGGTATAGAGTTAGACTTTTTGTACATCCCACCGATTTAGAAGAAAGTATATTAGCTATATAACAGAGTTTGCTCTATTAGGTGTTTATTTTAATCTTCATGTTCTAGGATTGTTTCTTTTTAATTCATATTCAAACCTTTCACACCTTGTAAAGAAACACACCCTATTTCAATATGTATGGCTTAGCATGCTACAGTTTTAGCCTCCTTCTTAGCCTTTTCCACATTGCAGTCTTCAGCTGCTGATCTGTATATAAACTAGCTGGAAATTAAACTGGCTTACAAAATTCCTTTCTGGATTTCTATCACATTTTCCCCCTTGGTCACACTAATAGTCAGGTGTTCTGTCTCCTACTTCTTTTCCCTTCCCATTCATGAAAGCAATGCCAATTGCTTTCATTTTTGTTGGCAAATCTTCTGTAAATTGAAGAAATTTTTACAACAGTTGTTCCTGTCACCTGGACTTGAAATAGAAATTTAGTTGAAATATTTGTCAATTTCACCTAGTTAAAAGGAAAAAAAAATTACAAAACAGGCCATCATGCTTTTTGCTATTTCTCCACTGAATCTCTTGAAAGCAAGACAAAACAAAGAAACAGCCTGCATTGCAGGTTGTCATTGGTGAAACTTGAACATTGTTTGT